TGCAACTTTGAAGATAATGTCAGCTCCCTACCGCTGCAGACACGGGTACAGACAACACCTAAGATACTTATGAGCATGGTAAGTGGAGGTGTTTCTGGTAGTTGGAGAATGGAATAGAGGCCTATGTTAAGAGGTCATCTCTGATCCTCACAGGTATTATTCGCTGGAATACATGCCCTTGCCTCGGCTCATTCATTCACCCGTCTCCATACGCGCCCAGTGGCCTTTTCACTTAACTCTTGTGCTTACCCCTTAAATGTAAACCAAACACACGCTGACAATCCAATTGACGGGATAGAAAGGTAGTCATTCCCCAGGAGTTCCTCTCATTATCAGGTGTAGATCAGCATAAGGTGCGTCGTGCCACGTCGAGAGCAAATATGAAAATAACAAGCGTGTTATTGTGTGAGCTGGGATACATGCACGTATTTTCATCAAGACGTCGTTTCCTTCACTACTTCACGGTAAACAGTATTTAAGAGACAGGTCATATGACAAACTGCCGCCTCTAACGGGGCTACAACTTACTCTTGGTATGGCAAGAAGTTAACCCCATATGGGACATCATCATAGCACTATTCACACCCAGGTCCGTCTGGTTCCGTTTTGTGAGGGTCATTATGTAGGCAATACACGCTAATTGAAGATCTTGAGACTCTTTGTAGCCATAAGGAAGAATGTATTTAAACCTTCTCCAATAACAAATTATTGATCCACGATGTTTGCATTAGTAATTAGTTATGTTTCTAAAATAAGTTATCACATAAAAAAGATTAGTGTTTTGTGGTACAGGAAACAAAATACATTAAATTAATTGTCTTTGATGTCTGTGTTTATAAGGATGTGTAGTGTCTAAATGATACGCTCGTGTTTACCTAATACTCTCAATGGAGAAGTTCATGTGTTAATGATATTTAGACAGACTTTTGCGCCACATAACGTTACACCACTCTGTTACATTTCTTTACTCTCTAGTCTTGCTGTCACTGTTGATGTTACATGGATGTTACATGGATTATCAAAGTTAATTTCTGACGAAGCTATGCCTAAGGCGTGTCTTCATTCTGGGTAATACAGTAGTGTCTGAACAACGTTTATCTGTTCAATAATGCATCGCTTAAAGTAAATTCACCATCTATGTTTACCTGTCAATAACACTCATTAGTTTGTGCCTCTATATATTAGGCTGCTAAATGCTAAAAACAGTCATTCATCCCCTTTAAAAAAAATTATTTAGATTATTAAAATGGGGAACAATGAAATTTATTTTAATGTATATATATATGGAAATATTTTCATATGCAATATACCACAGGAATTAGTTTAAACTCTCCAACAAACCGCCTGGCACACACCAAATTTGTCCTAGCTTTCACCGAGATATTACATGCTTGTAAGTAATAATGTTGTTAGTTGTATAGTATATACTGTGGTAATAAGCATAATGGCTAACAGAATCTAAAGTGAACAGTGAGGTGACGTACTGCTTCACGTTAGTGTTGTGTGGCGGTGTACTGTTTGTCTGCGGCATCACTTGATGAAGAAATGGTCAACAAGGATCAAAATCCAGTGTTTACTTTAAAGTGCGGCCAACAACAGTCAAAATGGTAAATTAGCAATTATTAATTAAGAATACCCAAATAACAATTAATCTGGTCTTCCACGCATTAACACCTACATTTATCCGTAAACTAAACGTACAGTAAGCACGGTACATTAAATTTTAGGAAGTTCTAAAAGCAGGTTTACGACCAGAAGATACAAAAAATTAAACTACAGGTGACATTTTTTTTGGGCTGTGTTGTCTTGGACTTTATCATATATTTTTTATTTGTTTAAGAACATTTGCCTTGAGGGAGAATGTGCTGCTTTTATATTATACGCCGTAAATTTAAATAACGGCACAGCAAAAGCGAGTTTAGGACCAGCTTTTTACTTTCCAATATGATGGCTAAAACAAATGTTAATACCATGTATATTCTATGACGTTCTTCTAGGTTGTTAAACATTACACTCACTTCCTGGTTAACTTAGTTACTGTACTCCACATACTCAACAGTGAGAGCATTAAACAATCATATCTATGTAGAACTTCATGAGGGTTCTATATAAAATAATTGTTTGGGGAAATGGTGAATATAGAGGCAATAACTTAGTAAAAAGACACTTATCTAACTGTAATATATATATATATATATATATATATATATATATATATATATATATATATATATATATATATATATATATATATATATATATATATAACAATACAAATTAGACACATCTTAAACTAATAGGATAGTTAGACATACAGCTATATACATGTAATATGTCTACACACAGAACCGCTACACCTTACAATAGATCAATAATAACTTTAAACTCAACATGCAAGGCTTCAGGCCTCGCCCACACTTTAGGTAACAGAATGACTTCTACTGAGTTGTCAAGTTAATAAAAAATATAAATAAAAAATGTTTTATTCTATTATGACTGCAGTAACTTTTTACCAACTCTGATACAAACAAGTGGAATTTTACCTGGTGTCTGGTGGGACTGGTGAAACGTCACCACAAGGTTGCTTGGTGAATGAGAGACCTTATAGGGCCTAAAAGGACGATTATACATTCTATTGATAATTGAATGGTTCAGTTTTTTCACCACTGGGTTTAGCTCAGTGGCAACAATCCTGTTTCCCAGTGTTCATTTGAACTATAGTCATGTAAACAATGGGTTATAGACAAAAATTTTCCCTACACCTTGGAATGAATGAAGCAATATTATTTGGATAAAAAAGAAAAATCCTTAGAGTAAACGAATTCAATGTAACATTTGGGAATGAATCCAACTCCACTGTAACTTCAGGGAATTACCTCGGACTAACGCCTTAACTCTTGCTTATCTGGTGAATTAATTGTAGATACAATAGTAGACATAGAAATGTTAAATGTCTTTCAGGTGATGCCTGTAGGAACCTTTACTTAATGCTCATACGATATCACTTACAGTATTCCTGCTCTTCGTGGTCTCCGCCTTAACACAGACAGTAAAATTCAAGCCACAAATTATTAAAAACATGATGGTGAGATTCATTCTTGACATGAAAGCACGATATCAATTCGTCACCAAGTCCTACAATCACAGGACATGCTGAATGTGTCCAAGGATTCTATACCGTTGGAGGATGGCTCATTGGCTCACTCCAATGGGTGAACTTGTTAACCCACGACTGTGGCGCTGCCAAGCGGCTGTTAAGTATAACAATAGTTGGCAGGCAAAGATTAAAGGGCGGAAGACACACATTTCGGTGAGTGCATTGTTTTTTATTATCTTATGCAAATTATTTTCTCATTTGTAATGGGATGCAATTACTGTGCAGGATTAAATTGTTCCAATAACACCAAATGGAACATAAATTTGCCTTTGTTCAGATTTCCCACAAAAGTTCCAGAGAGGTGAGTTATAAACCTACTTCTGTCACTGTTCATTTTCTTATGTTCTTTCTTTATTAAATACATTTAGTATTGATAAAGAGCCACTCTTCAGAACTGCTAGTGAACATTAGTGACCATTCGGTAAATCAGATATATATTCTGAATTTTCTCTGGCACTCTCTTTGTAAATGTCTAGATCCGCCATTGGAAATTATTTAGCCTCAACAAAGGACCCACCATGAAATAAGCATCTGACAACTTTGTCAGCTATCTTTGGTCAAATTGCCTTACTGTTTATCATTGGTGTATACCTGCACTGTTTAAGCACATAGTAAACTGTATACTTCCACGGGCCACGTGCACCGTATTGTTGCATTGTCTATATTTATGCTGAGCTGTATACCTGCATAGTTTATACACATGCCTATCCACCTGCAAATCTATATGAGAATTTCGCTGAATTATTATTATTATTATTATTATTATTATTATTATTATTATTATTATTATTATTATTATTATTATTATTATTATTATTATTATTATTATTATTATTATTATTATTATTATTATTATTATTATTATTATTATTATTATTATTATTATTATTATTATTATTATTATTATTATTATTATTATTATTATTATTATTATTATTATTATTATTATTATTATTATTATTATTCTTTATTATTATTAATTATTATTATTATTATTATTATTATTATTATTATTATTATTATTATTATTATTATTATTATTATTATTATTATTATTATTATTATTATTATTATTATTATTATTATTATTATTATTATTATTATTATTATTATTATTTATTATTATTATTATTATTATTGTTATTATTATTATTATTATTATTATTATTATTATTATTATTATTATTATTATTATTATTATTATTATTATTATTATTATTATTATTATTATTATTATTATTATTATTATTATTATTATTATTATTATTATTATTATTATTATTATTATTATTATTATTATTATTATTATTATTATTATTATTATTATTATTCAAACTTCCAATAATGTAGCTTGATCTTCAAACTTTTACAAATGTAACAGTCTAATCTTAAAACCTACAGTCTTTGATTTACAACAATACAGTCTTTGATTTACAACAATACATTCCTAGTTGTGTAGTTTTGAAGATGTACTAAACTTTTTTTAAGACGTGAGCACAAAATAAGTTTTGAAAAGGTAGTCACTGCCAGCTCTGTTACCAACATGTATAAGCAGTGATGTTTTTATATCACTACTAAAATAGTAGTCTATTCTCAACAACACACCAAAGCGCATTGGTTAACTATTGGTGATTTTTTCTTTCATATTAAATGGTGTAAAACTAGTATAAAGCTGTCGCCACCACCATCGCTGTTACTGAGGAACTAAAGGGAGTATATTCCCTTAAGTAGGCCAATATTTATCGATCTCTACGAAATAATCAATGTGTTGCTTTGAGACATTATTACTAGATACCTAAAACTGAATGTCAATAACAAACATATTATATATAGATTGCTTTTATTGAACAATTTGGTGTTGGAGGCGAACAGTCGTGGGAGATGAAAATTTTATCCAATGAACTATGAATATGATTGAATAAGATTAAAAGAACTCAGAAACAAAAAAAATATAAAGGCATTATTTAATTTGAACAAAAAGAGATGATAACAAAGTCTTACATGAAGAGGCCAGAACGTGGTCCTGTGAAGGTAGAAGTTATAACCCCTTCATATAGACCACATCACATTTCTGGTGAATAAAGCTTCTAAGACCTTCAAATAATAAACAACGCCAAACAATCACCGAGCACAAACCTAACCTAACCTAACCTAACCTAATCTAACCTACGCTAACTTATCCTAACCTAACCTAACCTCAGTGCTTTGGCTTTACCTCTCTTCGTTACACTAATCCACCAACAATTGAAAATCACGAAAGATACAAGTCCTGAATCCAAACAGTAAATCAGTGTGATAGTGAAGACAGGATGCTATCAAGTCGCAAGCACATACAATAACCGAGACTAATATTGTATACACATCATATTATTTGGAAAACAACAGGACATATACTGTGATTTCTATTTCATAACAGTAATGTTTTGTTTCGCTTAAACCTATATACCAAAAATATACATCTCAATATACTTATAATTAACTACACAAGGGATGGGGTTCAGTATACATAGAGTGCTATATAAGTACTGTATGTAATGTAGCAGTAATCTCTGTTAACATTTCCTTAATAATTAAACCATTCTGGACCTGGTGTTCCTAAACCTATGGATCTCTTATTACTTAATGGATTTATCCAAAACATGACGTAAATACGTGTTGGTTTTACATAGCGTCATAATAGTATTTGGATAAAAAAATAAATAAATAAAATGAATAACACACTTTGATAGTTATGGAAATTCAACATTTTAGGGAAGTATGTCACAATCTTTTACCACCGTCACATACACGATATTGATTATATTTTTACGTCCACTCATGCACACAAACATCCAACACCAGTGCTGGCCTAATGTCGCTTCATCAAGGGACTACTGTGTTTGGAACTCCCTGTAACCACCAGCTAGCGAAGGTTCCTCTATTCACTCTAGATAAGTTTGGTTAATGGTTAATGGCTCATACTTGATCTAGTAAAATTTGGACCACAAAGAAGTCTATCTAAAAATCCTGAAGTGAATGAACTGAATACAACACAAAACAAAAGTTAGGTCAGCTATTATTGGTTATCAAAGACCTTCTGAAATCACTACAATGATGTTCATTGCTGGTACAGGTAGCCTAAAAAAATTTGGTGCTTCGCATGTCCACACAACTTGACTCATTGTTCTCACCTCCTGCAGGCAGCGGGGCCGGGAGGCAAGAACTAGAAAAAATACTATCATGCAAAGAGATAATTTCGGTAAACTGTGTTGACTCAGATCTACTTCAACCTGACACAAGTCATATAAAAACACTAATGCCTTGCGATACCTTAGCCTGACCTGGTCGTGACAACTTGCTTCTAGTCATTATTATACATCACTAAATCGTGTCTACAGTATAAACGCATTTTTATCTGTCCATTACATTAGTATTTCTCTAAAAATGCAACAAGATCGACTGGCACAGCAAACTAAAGGGCACCCAGGCGACTTCTAAGAGCCATGTTCTCACACATCTCCATAGTCTTGCAAGCTGCCTCAGCGACACCATTGGGCACCCCGCGTCTGGACACTCCACTCAAAGTGCCTCCACGAACACCCCTTGATTCTCTCGCAATGGAGACACTTGACTGTTCTTTTTCCTGTAAAGGTAATGATTAAAGTGATGTTATTTAATGAAATTGAAGAAATTAAAACTGGTCACTTTGAGGAGCTAGTATATAATTATGTTGTAACATAAAACACTATATAATAAAGTGGGACTATATAATTCATAGGAGGAAGAATTGCATAGTAATACTTTAACTAACAAATTTATTAACGTACGAAATGTTTATAATCTTTTGATTCCAGTATTTTCTGCGTTTTCCATTTGGATATTGTATTGTTCTGGCCATATGGCGTGAGAGTTACTACTGCCCATCACAGACTATATGAGATGTAACAGTACGTATTATAAAAGGACATTGTTCTCATATGGCAATGGTCGTGATGAAAATGTGACAAAACCAAGAAGATAAGGTTAAATAACTATCTTTTTAAGTCAGATATATTCAAGGGCTAAATAATTATGTATTCATAAAAATATTAAGAAATAAGATCCTCAATAAGTGAAGGTTCATACAAGTAAATGGTTTGTTGACATTGATGAGTCATGGTCTTGTGGGAGCACCTCAAGGGTGAAATATTTTGAAATAGCAAGGATTCGTAGCACTCCTTTTAAAAATTAAATGTAAATAATAACGGAAATTCTTACTTATACTGCTACGTCTGTATAGGTCATGCACCAAACTATATTAGTACTTGTATATACAGTATATATTCAATCGAACTACTTTCATAAATAAATTTCATGTCAAACATCTTTACTCACCTTAATTATAAACAGAACCGATGATGGACATTGTTTACTCAAATATCTAAACAAAAGTAACCTAGTAATTCTTCTGGTTCCCTTTGACTTTGTTTATATTAGAATGCCAGTCCCGAGACACTCCTTGAAGTTTATATTAATCAGTAAATAAATTAATACTTGTATGCAGGACATTAATCTTCATATTGAAAACAAACCCACGTAAAACATGTGAGCCTGAAGGTCAGTGGAGCGACAGGGAGAGTGGACCGTGTGCAATGTTCTTTATCACCCTTGTTTGTTTACTTATTCATTCGTTGGTGTTCATAATGCACGTTAGCTGTTATGGAAATTTATTCGTGATATATTGTATATTTTGAAGTAAGTTACACCCATATGATAAGTGAAAGGAAAGCGAAGAAAAGACCCTTTGTGTAGAGTAACGGAACCTCTCCATGAAATACCAAACATGCAAAGGATTTGTTATTTATTTTTTCGTCTTTTCATTATGGTCGCCAAATTTACTTCTTGTTTGTGAGTTTCGGTAAGAGGATATTGGGAGGAAACTGCTTGTGGGATGCTGTAATGTCTTGAAGTGGGAGTTTACTGACTGACTGTCTTTCAGGAAGTCAATAAAAGCTCGGGAAGTGGGAGTATCATTGGCGTGACCGGTTGGCCTCGCCTCCAAGTTACCAAGGTTTATAAATAAACACTGGTGAGTATAATTAAGGCTTACAAAAACAAATGGAAGTAGAATTACAGATCCCTATATGACTTTAACTTTGCTTCAACGAGAACGTGATGTAAATAAATAAATAAATAAAATAAATAAATAAATATAGATAACTTTTATGAATTTCTGTTTTTAACTTCTGACTGGCCAGAGACGATCACGTAGATCATCACACTACATATAAATGTGTAGTTTCTTAGAACAAACTTTACCCTGCCTACCGTAACCTAACAATTCGCGTATTATTTGTCTATCGTATGATGGTAAACGACGTCTAAAATCAAGTAGAACAATTATGCTATATTCGAAATAGTTCCCATTAAGTTGTAAATTAAAAGGAAAAAATATCTACATTTATTAAAAATATCAGTTGCTTTTTACAGCATAATGGGCAATACATACCTGAGGTCTGGGCCTACTGCTCCCGGTGTAGGCCCGCAGGTAGAAGTTGGCGAACAGTAAGAAGAACATGAAGGCGTTGCCACAGATCCACCAGGTCATCTGTGACGGTACCGGGCACTCGATGAAAGCAAGCTGCGAGGGAGAGTATTCGCTGTCAGTACAGTGCTGCAGTTAGTTATCACCATCGTCACAATGTAACAGGCAGTCATTCATCACTTCTATAGTTCATTGTTGTGAATCTTCTCCACCAACAGATGGAACTCTAATATCGTCATCTAATGATTCGTTTTCAAGTACATATTTCTACGAGCTATCTTGATATCTTTATTTCATTATCTTATAATCCCTGCCACTCGACCGATTTTATTTATGTGCACCTGAGGTTTGACTTACGAAGGAGAACCATCAATGTTTAGTTTGTACGTTCAGTGACCGTACTCACAGCATATGATTCTTCGCCAGTCATTCTAGTAATAATTCACTGCGATATTTTAAAGTGAAGAACTTTCCAAATATTCTCGTTTTCTGCAGACTTCATTAAGAAAAACTATCATATTTAATTACTCAAAGAGGATGTTAAGTATTACGTAAAATGAAGAAAAAAGGAATATTTATTAAATTTATAGAAAAAAAAATTACGTTTGATATAACAGTACTCAACCTAGTCTGTATTCCTTAAATAAGCGCTGTCAATTATTTGTGTATGGCTGTTAAGAAATAGCTAATTATTTTTTATATCAACAGAATATCCTATTGAGGAAGGTATTGGTGGATAAGCATCCATCTGTTGTGATTCTTCGTTACCATGAGAGGAGTAGACGTATATTTAGTTACGTGTGACAGCGAGGTTAGACACGTTACTTTATTCAAGTTCTTCACAGATCCCTTGAAAGATGTAACACCCTCAGAGTCGTATTGTATGGAACCTTCACAAGAACTGGAAATATGTCACAAATCATATTCTTCTTCGGCAAAATTCTTAAGTGGTGGTTGTCAGAATTACTAACGACAAAGACACACATCAGTGATAGTACTGGCGACTCAGCACGTCCAAATTAATAGAAGATTACATCATGTGACCTAAACTAACGAACCTGAACTGCGTGGAGCATCACGGCGACGAACTGTACCATTTGGAGGCTGGTGAGGTACTTCTTCCACCAGAGGAAGGGACGGACGCGGGGACCCATGGCCGCCAGCAGGTAGTACAGGTACATCACGACGTGGACAAAGGAGTTAAGCAAACCCATGAACGTGCTGTGGCCACCTGGAATGATACTGATAATAAAAACAAGAACAAGAGTAGCATAACAATTGATAACATCAAGAAAGCTATTGCTGCAGGCTTTTTTACAGTTTTCAGATCTTTATTTACGCCCCTACATAGGGGAGGCAATCCTATATACACAGGCCAACCGGCTGTCAAACTGAATTACACAGACTCTCGCCTCGTAGGGCAGCTGCACCCCAAGTTGACTGCTAGTGGGTGTAAGGAATGAGACCGTGGCACTCTCACCTCATAGAGTGCGCTAAGACAAAAAAGTGAAGTGGCGGTTTTCTAGAGAAGGTATTTTGTATGGCACCAAATTTTGGATATAACTGTAAAATAGTATCCAAGACATTGGTAGTGTGGATGAAGGTGGTTTATAAGGTGGAAGCAAGGAGTAAATTGGTTTGCACCCTTAGATGTAATGCTGAAGGCTGTGTTTTCTAGTTTCGTCACAAATTCGACACTGAGTAACTACTTGTTGGTGATGGGTGACTAGATTCAGAATCACTGCCATAATCGTGGTCGTTGGCACGCTTGCCGGAATTGGGACAGTTATAGTCCATGTGATCCCCTGAGGCCTGTTTAGTACCTTGTTTCTCCGTGTTTGTCTCCACAGCATCCTCAGTAGTATTAGTTGTGTTAACTTCATTCTCATTCACCTCTGTATGGAAGGTCGCCATCAGATCCAGAGTGTCTTTTGGTATATCCATGGTGAGGATTTTTGCACAATCGTAAGCGCCAGGGACCACATGACTATTGTGGCAACACTGATCATTACTCTAGAATGATGTCAGCTAACTAGAGATTTTCCCTTGTTAGTCCGAGGGCATGCCTCACCCCCGGCTTGGAGTGGTGGGTCTCATGTCAGCGATATATATTTGCTAAATACAGCTAAGATCAAAACCTTACAGTAGTCCAACAGCCTTCAGCCAGTCTAGGAGTCCTCAGCCACTGTCTCCCTTTGTGCACAAATACTCTCAAAATAACACTGAAAGCCAAAACTTTATTCGCATCGCAGTGTTTTCGAAATTCCCGTTTTCTGTGTGCTGTGCAGGCCTTTTTACACCAAAGACTTGTGCAGTATTTTTCATAAATACTATCTCGAAGATCTGTCTCTTCTCTAGCAATAACCAAATTAATGCATTAAATCAAGTAATGTAAATAGTATGTCAACAACAGACTCACCATAACAACACACATACTGTCACAACACACTTACCTGGCTGATAGCGAACGCCATACCACATACTAACAGGCATCAGTGAGTGGTGAACAACATGCAGGAGAGAGATGTGTTCATGCTTCTTGTTCAGCACGAAGAACACCTGGTGGAACCACACATTTTTATGAACACTTAACATAACTAAGCTCAATAATTATGCTATCTTTGTTATCACGCCAGCTTCAATTTTCCTTTAACCTGGAGTTGCACTGTAATGCCATTAGAGGTAACTAACAAGTGACAACTAGTGCTTTAAAAGATCAAGGTGGGTGATGAACAAACTGGGAACAAATATATTAATTCATACAACAATATAATACTTAGTACCTTGTCACATCTAATGGTAATTATTAAGTCTAATCCTTATCTTTAAAGAATGAGAAGCGTCAGAGTGAAGCCACCAAGTCCTGTTGCATTGTGCTAAGTGGGGCAGCAGATACCACAGTTAATATCATTATTTCATCAATATTTGAATCCAGTCAGGTGATACGATTTGGAACACAAGTTAAAATAATACAGCCTTGAACTACAGCCTCTCAGATAATACTCCTATCAACATGCTGAAATGATGATACACAAGAGGAGGAAATATTATCTCATTATATTGTGGCAATGACACGAATCATTCACAAGATCCTGAAATGACGTTTTCATCCTTATAATTATAAAAAAGAAGAAGAAAATTATACAATACATTCACCAGGAAAACACTTCGTAAGAATCTAAATACTATGCTAATGAAAATCGTCAACTCAAATGGTGGATGAACATATAATTAAGAATGTTTATGTAACTCTCAAACAGCTTACAGTTGGTCGTACTAGTGAGGGGTGTTAACTATCTGAGATAATTAGTAGGGGAATAGATTAGGGAGAGCTGGGTAAAACTAACGTCACATTACTGAATCTAGCTAAAGAAACCGGGATAGGACAGTGGTACTCTACAACACGAGGAACTTAGATGTACTCACAGTGTCGAAGAAGTCCACGAATTTGGAGAAGTAGTACCAGTATGAGGCATGAAGCATCTGGGGGGAGTTGTTTTGCATCAATGTATTGTATATTGTCTTTACACACACACACACACACACACACACACACACACACTCTGAACTCAATATAATCCATAATTGGTAGTTTCACATCTAACTGTCCCTCGATATAACAAACTTTCCTCTCTACATAGTCCGTTAAATAGAGGTTTCACTGTAGGAAAATTCAATTAAAAAAATGCTTCAGTGTTTCAATATAATGGAAGTTCATTTTTTTTGTTTTCATCAGCTGCGTCAGTGGTTAAAGAAGAAGGACTAATTATCGTAAACTAAGGTTGTATGTAAGCCTTCCGGGGGTGCTGGAGAATTTGGGAAAGGTTCGTTTGATTGATTTGTAAGCATAAGTACATCTGGCGTCTTCACAATTTTTTTTTTTTTTACTCAAATGATGTAACTTGAAATATGTAAAACACGTAAATAGAAGAATATCAAGAAAATCACATACATTTTGAGTGTTGAGCTGCCCTTATCATTCATTTCATTTCGTCTAACACATACATATTCATCCAAGTGATCCTACTGGTTAAAAATAGAATTAAAACAAATTGGTTATAGAATACAGTGATATAATCAAACCCTTCCCTCACTCAGTCCTCCAAGACAGCCATGAAGCACAGACTCACCCTGATAGCTTGCGGGTCATTGGAGAAGTCACATATCTGGCAGCGGAAGCTATAGTTGGTGAACCATCCTCCTAAACATGTCTGTAACACCATGCTGATATAGTTAAGAGATAATGATAATAATGTTAAAAGGGAATATTTTATGTGAAGTCAAATGAAAATATATGAAGTTTTATGGTATGATGAGAACTATGAAGTTATGTGATTAAAAAATAGAAATGGGGATACAATTTTTTCACATATTCTCACACTCACTTCGCTTTGTGATACTCTGGAAATAAATTCGTTCGTGTGAGTAAATCAATCAGCTAGTCTTGTTGCACATAGTTATCTGATACAGTTAATCAATATCTTGTTTATTGAAGACACATTTACGAAGACATACTCTCAAACCCGCACACAAACACGCATACAAACACGCATACAAACACGTACACAAACACGTATACATGTTTGTACATAGATACAACCACACACACAAACTCCATTGCACAGACACCGTTATAATACACGAGAATGCGCAAACACACACACAAGCACACACACACACACACACACACACACACACACACACACACACACACACACACACACACACAAGTACACGCACACACAGCTATGTTTATACTCAATGTTGTCAAGGAAAATCGAAGCGCTTATCAATATTACTGAACTCCACCTTAGAGATATGTACACTATATACAAACACAAGCCAGACAGACAGACAGACAAACAGACAGGGAGAGAAGGACAGAAAAAGAGAAGTAGTACTGAAAAAAGTATAGTTTAGAGACTTTAGACGTATGAAGTTAGAGTATAAGCAATTGTTATCCTCTGTTTATATAATGCCTGACACTACGGTACTTTGTGAGAGGATTTATGCCTTTATTGAATCGCGGTAACTATTAAGAGCTTGGAATGATATTTAATTCGTAAACACCATTTTCTAATAATTTTGAAATGTGGAAGAGACCAGAAAATAAATGAAAAGAGTACTATTTTTTTTTAAGTAGCAGTCTAAACACAAGATTCATTTCATTCTTTGTGAAAACATAACCAACTCGACTCATTCCATCACCTAACTAACACCCAGTTCATCCTTATATTCTCAGCACCATTGTCTTGTTTATTTATGAGTTATATTGCTATTACTGCACTTCAACAACTATGGTCTTTAGGTGCGTAACAAGGCTAATAATTACGTAAGTACATAAAAAAATTAACAACTATGAGAGAAACTGTGAGAGATAAATCAGGGGAAGCTTATCTCATCTCGTCAAAGACTGACTCACCTCGTACACCAGCCACGAGGAGTAGACAACTTGAAACGTGTTGTAGGCCACCATGACGGGGCGGAGACCTGAAATAGGTTTCCTGTTTTCCATGAACTTGGGCCCAAGCCAAGTGACGCCGATGACGTAGCCGAGTGAAAGAAAGTAAGTCGGGAGGGGAGACTTCATAAGGAGCCAAGAGTCTTGGCGGGGATCAGGGGGTAGCTGCGTGGCTACAAGTAGATGACCATAAACCAGATTGAGCAGGGTCATGATAATGCCCCACTTGGCGCTCACCCCAACAGTTGTCACAGGCTCTGTGGAATACAAGTTAACTGAGAGCATGGCCTCGGTAGGTGTGTACTCGTATATCAAGTGTTATATTTTAATCGTTTATTAACTAATGTAATTCTTGGGTCTTGTCGTGATATGATAATTACTCTAGATACTCAATGAAGAATCTTAAACAAATTAATTAATCTTACCTGATTTTCAGCAAAATGAAACGACTACAGGTCCTATATATCGATCATGCTATTAGTTTTTATAAGGATAGTAACAACAAAATACAAGTTGAAAATCCGATCTACAGAAGCTATCTACTACTGGAAAAATAGAAGCACATTTCATGATCTTTGAAAAGTAATTTATTTGTTCAAAACAACCTTTATTTGCCTCGGTAGACTACTGTGCATTAACACCATCTTTATTTATACATCCAGTTAACGAGTGACTTTGTATCACGCAGAGAAAACTACTGTAGCCATACTTCCTCGCTCGACCTCAGGCCATGGGCGCCGACTTTTCAATTTTGTTGTGAAATTATATATATATATATATATATATATATATATATATATATATATATATATATATATATATATATATATATATATATATATATATATATATAATATATATATATATACATACAGTATATATAGTATAATATGCTTTATATACTTACAAACCTTCTTCTACTACGATGCAGGATGGCCAGGCAACTGCTGAACATGCATTATTACACTCACCAGCCAACTGGACCGCTACACCCCTTCACAGGGTGTTAGGCCACTAAAGGATTGTTCCACTATCGGTAAACGCACCAGATACCATACTCAATTTTTTTTAGGGTACAAGGGTTAGTTCACAGGCAGGAAACTCCCTCCATTCGTTTGTGAGGAGAAGTAATGCTTCACTGTGTTAATGACTTATTTTGTGGATAATTTTAGCGACTCACACACTTGAGAACACTTCCTTTTGTAGACTATCAGACCAAAACAAAATATATAATGACGGTGAAGTTTGGAGAGAACATTGGCTAGAGACATAGAGAGACAAACGATGTTGGTCTAAGGGGTAACTGTGAACCGTTGACCAGTCTGATTTGCTACTCTATTAATATGTTTTAATCTTGCATCGTTTCTTTTTTCATAATTGTTATTTTTTCCACTCGTTACTTTTAGGTCGCGATGAGCGAATGGCTATGATTGGAAGCGTTACTAATAGAGATGATATTTATAAAAATCTAATTTTAATAAATAAACAAGTGCCCTTTTTACGCCACAAGTCTACAGTGGATTCTTTGAAGTGTTGTAATATACTTCTAGAGGTGGAGTAACATTTTGGAACAGAGAAAAGTGAGAGAGAGAGAGAGAGAGAGAGAGAGACCGACCTTTCTTCTCCTGCTTCAGCTGGGGTTGAGTAGGGATCGGTCCTACTGTGCTAGTCGATGGTGCCATGTTTCCGTAGATCACCAGCAGGTAAGTCAGCTCACCAGCAACAAGTATTACCAATGGAGAAACAATTCCACACTGCCGACAAAGAGAGACGTTAGATACTTCAGGATAACGACTCACACAATTTATCTCCTGAGAGCAACATAGTATAGAACATATAAGAAAAGTATCATATTCTGTCTGTATAGTAAAAAAACAAAAACAAAATTGATATATTTATAACTATTAATTATATTCTGAACACTTCTTTATTCTACACACACACAGCAGGGATAATTGCCTAATAGCGATAAATTATACATATATTTTGTATTTTTTGACTGGCTTTAGACGATCATGTAGAACTTAATAATACACATAAACGATTAGTTTCATGGAAATGCTAACCCAGCCTAACCTAACGTAACCTAACCTAACCAGCCAAACCTAATCTAACCCAGCCTAACCTAACGTAACCTATGATATTTCATATATTACAATTAATTGAGTGAATAACATTGGTATCAGTTTGCCTTGGGGATTTTATTGTGCACATTTTTGTTGGGGGGGGGGGACACGGAGTAATCATGTGCTTGTCTATTCCTTGAAGTTATCACAGACCATTTAAAGCTAAATGTGACCTTGTTGAGACAATATATTAATGTCGGGAATATTTGTACCACCAGCGACACACACACTTGAATGAATCACTGATGAGAACACAGACAGAATCAGGCACAACAAGATTGTTTTTTTATGCTGGAAGAATCTCTATACTGCAGCCTAACTGGACCAGAAACTAATTAGGTCAACTTTTTGTCTCATATCAAACAAGAAAAAGAAGATACCCTGCTGAGTCATCCCAAGCAGGTGCTGATGCACAACCTTACCAAGCAGGTGCTGATGCACAACCTTACCAAGCAGGTGATGTAGAACCTTACCAAGCAGGTGCTGATGCAGAACGTTACCAAGCAGGTGATGTAGAACCTTACCAAGCAGGTGCTGATGCACAACCTTACCAAGCAGGTGCTGATGCACAACCTTACCAAGCAGGTGTTGATGCACGACCTTACCAAGCAGGTGCTGATGCAGAACGTTACCAAGCAGGTGATGTAGAACCTTACCAAGCAGGTGCTGATGTAGAACCTTACCAAACAGGTGCTGATGTAGAACCTTACCAAGCAGGTGCTGATGTAGAACCTTACCAAGCAGGTGCTGTTGTAGAACCTTACCAAGCATGTTGTAGAACCTTACCAAGCAGGTGCTGTAGAACCCCAAGCAGGTGCTGTTGTAGAAGCCTTACCAAGCAGGTGCTGTTGTAGAACCTTACCAAGCAGGTGCTGATGTAGAACCCACCAAGCAGGTGCTGATGTAGAACCTTACCAAGCAGGTGCTGTTGTAGAACCTTACCAAGCAGGTGCTGATGTAGAACCTTACCAAGCAGGTGCTGTTGTAGAACCTTACCAAGCAGGTGCTGTTGTAGAACCTTACCAAGCAGGTGCTGTTGTAGAACCTTACCAAGCAGGTGCTGATGTAGAACCTTACCAAGCAGGTGCTGATGTAGAACCTTACCAAGCAGGTGCTGATGTAGAACCTTACCAAGCAGGTGCTGTTGTAGAACCTTACCAAGCAGGTGCTGATGTAGAACCTTACCAAGCAGGTGCTGTTGTAGAACCTTACCAAGCAGGTGCTGATGTACATTAATGTCCCTCCCATAGACGATAGGTTCACTCGCTCTCCCACTTATTTTCTCATCCTCCACGAGTGCACGCTTGGCTGGATGTCTCTACACTGCAGGAACTCCGCCAATACACAATGATGGTAAATTCTTAGAAATCTATATCAATCATCGGAGGAATCCTTAAGGGAGATTCTAAGATATCCAAGCTGTTGAATTCTCTTTGTCGGATTATTTCTGATAGAACATTATAAGTTTCAAGACATCTCATTTTAGAATAGAATCATAATAATTTGTCCATACGTGAATACTGCACCCACCTATCTCTGTTCTGATAATGATGTATATTTTAGTTTACCATTATGATTAGGATTTATTAATAAGCTAATTGATCATAAAGCTATGTTTAGCGGCATGGCCACATACTTAAGTACAACTTGGAATATTGTCGTAAGTTTTGAGTTACTTTTTCATTTTCTTGTGAGGTTTATCTATTGTGCTGCTCAGGTGCATATCATTAGTTACATTGAGTAAATAATGGTGTGGGCAACATGTGATGCAGAGAGTCTATATGGGTCACACTGAAGGTGAAGTTGTGAAATGTTCATAAGACAAGATTAAATAGAAAAACTTACCTGTAACAAATTTTTTTTTACCTTGGCATTAACAAAAGAAATCGAAGCTCATTACCAATTTTTTGGAAACTGTGAGGAAGAATCGTTTGACATTATCAGCACACATTGTCAGCCCAACAGGAGGAACCCGATATTCAAGCCTAGAAACATATACTATGACGATAATGTACTCAAATCTTATTGCCCAAAGAAAGTGAAAACAGCTGTTCTTCTGCGCATTACACATGATTCTGTAACTTACAGTGAACGAAAAACACGATATTATCTCAACTATAACTTACCTAAAGGCGGTGTAGACAAACTCGACAAAAGTGTGACAACTTATCGATCAAAGTGTCAACCCAGGAGGTGGTCAATTACCTCTGTCTGATACTATAGTGGACATCTCAGACTACTGCGCATATTTCTTTGGGTAATACAGATTGGAATAGAACTGCAAACTTGAAGCATATAAACAATTTCCGTACAAATGCTCTGCATGCAATTGACTGACTGAGAGAAGTTGCGTCGTTCTAAGCCATCATCCCTTATGCTCGTATACACTATACCGCTACAGGTGTCACGCTGATGACAGTAACCAATAGAGGACTGGAATTCACTGGTTACTATTATGTATTGTGGTCTACATGATTATCAATGGCCAGTCATAATTTTCCTTAAAAAATACAAAGAAGTTATCACTGCTTGGCAATTATCTGTCTTTTGTGTAACATAGACAGAAAGACAGACAGACACACACACACACACACACACACACACACACACACACACACACACACACACACACACACACACACACACACACACACACACACACACACTTTTAATTTAGAAACATCACTGACGTACCACTGTAAAAGAAGAAAGCACTGTTTATTTCGACCGTAACCTACGGTCCTCTTCAGCAATGTGACAAGCACAACTACAGAGGGAGGTTTCATATAGGGGCGTCACGAGACGTGACCAGGCGGCTGACTGTGACGAAGGACAGGTCTTAATTAAGCTCTCAGATAAGGATGTATGAGCCGCCACCGAGGTAAAAAGTCAGGGGACCGAGTGTTTTTTCTACAACTAATATATATATATGTACAGTATATATCTGAAGATGTCTTGAATAAAGACGAAAGCTAAGGTGTTTCCATTTTCCCGTGTGATTTTATCAAGATATATATATATATATATATATATATATATATATATATATATATATATATATATATATATATATATATATATATATATATATATATATATATATATATATATAATTCTTTCTTTTTTCAAGTAGATCCACAATGGAAACGTGGATAAGATAAATCTTGATAAAATCACACCATGCTGGCAATAGACGAACTCCTCGTTAATTTTACATTTTCAGAAATTAAACATACAGGTAGCGACACCCCTCTAGTGGTGCACCATGCTGGACTCACCGGCACACACTATCCACACCTCGCTCAGTGCGAATTTTTGGTCAGGCTCACACGAGACTCCACAGAACACTAACCTACTTCGGAGTGGTGCGTTTACTTATCACCTAAACTTACCTGTTCACCTCCGTTGCACTCTGTTACCTGTGCTCCAACCTCCAAGGGCGATGAAAAAGAAGAAAACAAAAAGAAAAAAAGAAAACAAAAAGAAGTACCTAAGGTAAACGACTTGGTCAGCTTTCGGTTTTTTCTGCATTATACGTTTGATGCCCCCAGTAAGATCTGTAAGTGAAGGTTACTAATTTACTCTCAGAACTGGAAGAATTATTAGAAAATAATACTCATGGTTCATATTTAAGAGCATCTCTCACCTGGACTACCTTGAAGCAGAGTCCGCGCGTGACTCATAACATAAACAACTCTCCATGCTGTAAAGTGTTGACATATCGGTATGATGATTAAATCAGAATTAAGTTCTTTAAACGTATATAAATATCAAAGTGCTTTTAATCACTCTTAATCCGGCGAAACGTAAATAATCTTTATAAAACCCTTTAAAAATAACATATTAACTAACACAAATTCAACCCTTCAAGTAATTTCTTGTACTGTATGTATGAACCATGAAACATTTTTTTTTTTAGGTTCAGTTTCACATATAATGAAGTGTCCTTGTATGATCATTAAGACATCTATTAATTATACCTTAATTTTGTACACCTCGTAGTGAGGATGTGGAAATGGGAGGAACAGTCTTGCACACCACATCATCATTGTCGCAGCACCATGCTCGATGCTCGATGCTCGATTATGGTTTTATTAAAAATTTCGTCACCAAAGAGTTGCTCGAGGTATTACGTATTCCGACCCGAAAAAAAAGTGATATATTTTATTTCCCCGTTGATGTGTTTAAATAAGATCACTAGGAGTCGTAGCACAGTTATTGTATTTGATGGCATTGCTTTCGTCGCCCTTCCGAGACAGGGAATATACTACTCATCTTTCTTAAGGCACTGAGGGATGACCTGGTGACCTCGTCCTGGAGTATACTTATAGGCTCCATAACCTACAGCCTATGCTCCACGCACCATTCATTTATTAAATATGTTAAAGACCTTTACAGATACTTGTGTGTGTATGTATATGCCTGCGCGCGTGTGTATGTGTGTGTTTGTGTGCATATATATATATATATATATATATATATATATATATATATATATATATATATATATATTGTGTGTGTGTGTGTGTGACGATTGGTGTAACTTGTTAGTAAAATGGTAAAAACTAGATTATGCAGGAATAAAAACAATAATGTCAGAGTAGCTCATGAACACTGTCAGTGCTGAAGTGCTTTATCTCAACCTAATGTTTTCTTCCTTCGTTAACACATATATTGTCTAAAATCTCCTGATCATTGATTTTGTGTTTGTGAAGTACGATACAACAGCAGGCGAGGGAAACAGCGAGTCTACACGTAGGTCCGGACTGTCGAGGTAGGTTTTTGCCAGACACAAGAAATGTTCATACGTGATGAGGGGCACTATAGCCACTGCGAACAAAAACACACACACACACACACACACACACACACACTCAGTTCAACATTACTAACCATATATAGATATCATCTTTGCCTCCACCACCACTAGAATTATCTTAACCATTGTCAATTTTACGTCTTCGTCGTCGTCACTGTTACATGAGTACTACATCGTCTTCAGTCATCAGTCATCTTATCCTCATTATCACCAATACCAAAATTGATTATCACCATTACCGTAATCATTTTAGTCACCATTAGAACATTAACATCCCTGTATTTACCATTATCAGCAGGATCTCTACCACCATGGGACCATCTCCCATATGCTACCATTGCTGACATCCTTCCCATGACATGATATCGCTTCTCTATAGTCATCACTGTCACTGAAGCTACGAGCCCGGAATCTATCGACGGCGGAATAATTAATTTTAATCAATTTTCATAATACCTATTTACCAGAAACGACTTATTATCCCCACTGAGAAAAACAGAGCTACTCTGTGGGTGAAATAATTCAATACCTGACAATACTTCCTCTGATTCTTCCAACATCACATTACCTCTTACGGGAGAACGTGACTTCTTGAGCACAATGTTATCGTACTCAACGGGAATTATTCATCTTATTCAAATGATTAAGACTTTGTACTCAGGGGAATAAGGCACTCCACCTAAGAGGTTCAATCATTGTACTCAAGAATGCAGATATATTTCTAAATAGGATAATTCATTATAATTAAGGGTTGGCATCGTCAAAGTTACAGCAATTATCCTGACCCGGGGCAAGTCAGGACACAGCCAGCTGGCTTGTGATCGTTTCAAAATGGTGTACAAACATTGCGTTTGTGTCTTGAATTAATGTACCTTGATCTACGTGCGTGACCAGTCGTCTTGCAGGTGTAAACCCAATACTTAACTGTGCACTTATTTATTTAATTTTACTTAGCTGTATTGTGGCGGCAATATAGTGATGGGGTTGGCTAGATGGGGGAAAAAAGTAAAAGAACTATGTCTTTGTAATATACATTTGGCAATAATAGTTACGATAGCATAACTTACTGATCCTCTCGAACAAAAATCGTACAATTATCTAGCGGAGGGCCGAAAACACATACTTGTGTGTAAAGGATAGTTATTGAAATTCTAGCAGACACAGTTATTCCTATATACACAAAGACTATGAAAAAGGCATATAGAAGAGTTGATTCATGCCAATTATATATCGTATAACATACACATGAGCACATTCACATAAATACAATCATGTACAGTACTTATTCTACTGTAATGGTGAAATCACGTATTGAGTTATCTTAAGACAATTTACAAACTTCTTGACATTTCTCAGCTACTGTACTATTTCATTCCTCACTGATAGGATTTAGACACGAAAACTCACCCTCCATTACTTAGCTAAGAAATAAGCCATTATCAAATTTACTTAGGCCTATAGGTGTTAGGATAACTTTACCATAACAAAGTGCTGGATCAATTTAATATCCTGAGAGGTGCACCCACAACAACACAGCAAGAGACATTCTTCATCTCTGCCAATGCTTAAGGAAGTATTATTGTATTGAGGTGCTCCTTGTTCTATATAATTTGTGACATATCTTACGGTAACCAAAACTATAAATACAACCTTTGATCTGGTTAACTCTGTCACTGTCGGGCACATGTACGGCCGATGTATGTGTATAATGTTATATGCGATCGCACATACTGTAGGTATCATTAGTAATGGTGACTGAAGTTATAGATATGTCAGTATGCTTTCGTATATCGTATTATATTTCAGTGTTTTGGAATTTCTGTAAATTAATAATGTTAGTAAGATCCAGACGAGTTTGGGCTCTTAGAACTGGAAATAATTTGGATACGGACCAAGTTGAGTTGCAAAGAATAACCTGCAGTATTTGTTGATGACAGTTGAGTCACAGCGACCGGGTTATCATTCTAAGGTTAAATACCTCCTAAAGTAAGTATCTGTAATACCTTCACCGTTTCCATGAAATTTGTAAATGAATGGAAAAAAATGAAGTGTTATTTATAAGGTCACAACTTTCACCATAACTTTCACCATAAATATTGTCTTTTGTCTCTGACCTTGGAAAAGCAAGCGCCTACCTGTTTATTGCTGACGATCACCACCAAGTTTCAAACCGTGCTACCTAGAATTAAATGACCAGTCCTGTTGAATAAGGTTTGGATGAGCACACACACACACACACACACACACACACACACACACACACACACCGTAACAAAAAGTGTCCTTGGGGGGAAAAAAGAAACGTGAAAAACAAGATCAAGTTTTTCAGGTGGTGTAGGTGACAGAAAAAGTTCACATATATATTACGTAACATTGTGTGACCTTCTGACGAAGACGGGGAAGTCTTCACAGCACTAGGAAGGTATACAGGGGTGATATTTGTGTGTGTTCTAGACAAGGAGTGAGTTAATAGTTCCTACCACGTTATCTTTTATATTATATGACATTGCCTATAGTGGCTCAGTTACTACGTGGCTGATATAAAATTTAAGCGAACCTAATCACGTTATATAACAAATGTCCAAATGAGTGTTTTAATACTTGGTTTAACAGACAGCTGGACAAATGTTTTATCTCATTGTTATGGTAAATATAACCTAATAATTGTTTTAATGTAGGGTTAATTATGATGACTTGAGGTTGGCATATCATGTTTCAGTAATTGTTCTAATACCTTGTTTAAACACGATTAATTAAGGACTTCTATATTATTTTTTAATTTTGATATAATTATTATTAATATCTCTTAGTATTATCTTTAGATTACAAAGATTCTCTATATAGTTCTTCTGATGCTTCGAAATATATGTTGATCTTGAGTCCACTCTTTGATTACCTTCTGTTATTCAATATTGTGTTTAAACAAATTGCACTCATGGTTTACTCAACAATGTGCACTCTTAAGTTTTCTAATTGTGTTGACAATCGTATAATTATCTTTTTGCTTTAGAAACTCTGCTTGAAGCCAATGAACCTCACAGACTTTATAATTCCCTTTATTTTGTTCATAGCCTTATCAACTTTTGTTTCCGTCAGACTGAATTTTATTTGCTTTTTGTTCCATACATTTATCCAGTAGTTATTCTGGTACAGGTCTAAAGGATATTCTGCCTTCCGTCTTTTTTTTTATTTACGGCAAACTGGGAGGCGCTCTAGAGGTGTAAGGGGTCAACCGGTAGGGAACGCTGTAGGTCACCAGGGGTCAATTGGCACTATACCAGAAAATCTTAGTGAACACAACTACTATTCTTACTCAGTTTCATAATCCTATGCAAAAGTGGACAATCGGTGTCCTTATCCGTCCCCACTAAGTGTTGCAAAAACTTTAGAAGTTTGACCCCCACAGGATAAGGCCGGACGGGTCATGCTGCAACTTTCAAGTTGGCTTTTCTGACACTGTATTGCTGGATGTACATTACATCTAGCACAAGGGGTAATAGTGTGTCTGTCTCAAGCAATGGT